CGGGGAGGGGGGCCCGGGGAGGATGGTGGAGGTGGGAGAGGATGGGAAGGGGAAACAAATGAGGAGGCTACAATGCTTCATAAGAAATGTACTCATTACTGTACAGAGGGGTTACAATTACCTGGGCAAGATATTTTCACAGTTAAAAAAATAAAGACAAATGAATTCTAAACCTAAGCAACAAATAACTTCCACAGATAAAATTCTGAGAAAAATGAACTTAAATTGAGAAATACCAAAAACATGAGCACTTGCAACCATGAAGATTGTCAACAGAACCAATAAATTATAGATATGCTGGGCGCCAGTGGCTCACGCCTATAATCCTAGCTACTCAGGAGGCTGAGATCTGAGGATCGAGGTTCAAAGCCAGTCCGGGCAGGAAAGTCCATGAGACTTTTACCCCCAATAAACCACCAGAAAACTGGAAGTGGCCCTGTGGCTCAAGTGATAGAGCGCTTGCCTTGAGCTGAAGAGCTAAGGGACAGCGCCCAGGCCCAGAATTCAAGCCCCACGACCAAAAAAATAAATAAATAAAAATAAACTATAGATACAGACTACAGGTGCTATAAGTATTAGGGAAAAAATATTTTTTTTTTGTTCAAGTCCTGGGGTTTGAACTCAGGGCCTGCCTACTACCCCTGAGCTTTTCTTGCTCAAGGCTAGCACTCATCATTTGAGCCACAGTTCCGCTTCTGGCTTTTTAGTGGGTTAATTGGAGAAAAGAGTCTCATGGACTTTTCTGCCCAGACTGGCTTCAAACCACCATCCTCAGATCACAGCCTCTGGAATAGCTAGGATTACAGGTGTGAGCCACTGGCACCTACCTAAAATTTCATTGCCTTAAAAAGAAAGACCTCCTTCTGTGTGCACTTGTGTGTGTTAATAAAGATTACTTTGAGATATATTTTCTCCACCAATTCATTCAATACCAGTGTCTAACATAAAATATCTAGCAACAAAAATTGAAACAAAATGACAAAAATGGAAAAAATTCAAAATTACATTCTCAGAAATCATTGTATTGCAGAAGAAATAGAGCAAAGCCATAGAAGTGGGGTTTTTTTCCCCTAAATAAGCAATGCCAGATGCTAAAAACCAAAGGGAAAATAGTTTTAGAAAGAATGCATTACAATTTTAATTTCATCAACTTGTTAAAAATACTGGTAGAATAGAAAAACAATTAGTGCTGTTTTTAAGGAAAAAAAGGTGAAAATCTAAGCAAGGAAACCGAATTTCTCTATGCTTATCACACTTCTGACACCAAATATACAGAGGGTTTTTTGTTTTTTTTTTTCCTACACCGAATAATTTTCTACTTTTGTACAGACATTTGAGTATCCTACACTTCAATTCTAATACTACCTTCTGTGGTAGTGCAGGCCTCTCCCCGTCAGGTTAAGGGCTCATTCCCTCAAGACCGAATCCCCTTGGTATGGCAGGCAGAAGTCTGGGCTTCCTACACCTCTGACCCATTTCTTTCTTTGATTTAATAATTTTCTAGAATGGCCCATAAAACTGAGGAAGGCACTTGAGTTTATCAGTTTATTATCAAGGATACAACTTGGGAATGGCAGATGCAGAGGGCAAGGTCTGGAAGAGTGGCCCAGAGCCACCAGACCCTTTCTGGGTGAATCACCCTCCAGCATCTGCATGTGTTCACCAACACAGAAGTTCTCTGAAACTCTTTGGTTAGAGTTTTTGTGTTTTGTTTTTTTAGACTAGAATTATGCCTTTATTCAACAAAAATGAGTCATTAAGATTAAACGCAACTTGTCTATATGCAGAAACATTATTTTATATTCAACTCTGAAGAAATTGCTATACTACCAATCAAAAGAACAATGAAAAGTGAGAGGAATAAAGATGGCAGCGGAGAGATGAAAGCTAGACTTTCAACAAAGATTTCAAAGTGAACAAGATTGACATAAGGACATTTCTTCCATTCTGATTCCTCTTGGTGCTGGTGAAAGGTGACTCACAGAATTCTTACGAAGAGTTCTGCAAAAATAGGCCAAAGCACAAAAAGCTGAAAGAAATGATTTTTATTTTCATTTTAATGAAGTCTTGGTTACCTAGGTGCCATTGGTGATTAACTCAACCTCTAGCTCCTCTTCCTGTCCATGAGTTAGAGTTTCAGGATGAGAGAGGGCCCGTGTTCTGGTCACATGTTCATTGCCTTGGCAGCTTTCATCACTTCAGAACCCTTTCAGGAATTGGACACAAAAAGCTCAAAAAGATGTTCTTATCACCCTATCATTAAGGAAGTTATCACTCTGTCATTAAGGAAGTTATAAGAATTTCAGAAGCCTTGTGCCAGGAAGGGGGTTAAAGAGGCCAAATTATATTTATCTCCCACCATTTTTTCAAAAAGAATAAAATGGACAACAGTACAAGAAAACGTTGTTGACCTAGATAACAGACTCAGAAAGCTAAGCCAATGCCAGCAGATTATAAATATAAAAATTCATAGACAATGATGTAATCCAGCAGGGCCAGCCAATAAGTGGCTCTCCTGCCACTCCTCTCTCCCGGCCCACCCCGCCCACTCCCAAGTCAGTCATCAATATCCTAGTGGTCTATCCTAGCAGGCTTTTTCCTCCAGGCCAAAATAAGGCTTCAGAAGTCTCTCAGCCTAGCATTGTGGGCAGCTCTTCCCAATGTTGATAATTGTAATATGCGCTGAAAAGAACACGCTTCTATATAGAAAACTGCATCTCCAAAAATAATTGGAGGGAGAAAAGGAAAAAAAGCAACTTGGCTTTTGTTCTGGAGAAGAGGATCCAAAATAAGAATTCAGCCTGACAATGGAAATAAGCACACAAATTCCCTTCAGTGTTTACCATTCAAAGGAAGACCTTTAGATCTATCACTGTTAAATAAGTCTCATTTCTTCTGAACTTCAGACTTGAAGGATAGCTTGATGCACTGAAGAAAGAGATATATTTCAAGTCATCATAGCTGAGAATCACCTGAGCTAACCCTACCAAGGTGCTGAAAAGGACTCAAATCCCCAGACCCTTGAGAAATTCTCCAACAACCTCAGCCTCATCTTTAAAGAATTACTCATAGAGCATTTGACTTCTGTGAGCTACAGTCTCCTAAAATAAATAAGCACTGTAGGGAGGCACTGATGTAAAAGGTTAATCCATTGGTACAGTAGCCCTTCAAAGTATGAAGAAGAAAGTTTAAACACATTTCAGTGTACCAGTTCTCTCAATCCTGAGTGAGTGGTACTGAATGGCTTAGGTAAATCCAGAAATAGGCAACATATTTTCTACCAACAAGTCCACTGAGATAAGTAAAATGATTAGACAATGTTTTGTAGCATACCACTGACTTTTATAGCGTACATCCCTGATTTTTGTAGCACACCCTTAGAAAGAAAGAAAAAATCACTTTCCATTGAACTATTACCCAATGCTTTCTTGCTTAGAATTTTTCTATTTTTTGAGGATGCTATTATAGGCTTGAGAACAGAAAGGAAGAACTCTGGTCAAGTTTACCCAGTGGAGGCAGATATAACCTATCTTCTACTTCCAGCTGACACATTAGCATGCAATCAGATTTAAGACAGCTGATTTTAGGAATATTAAAATGTGAAAAGTTCGAATTGATGTAAGATGATGCATCAAATAAGTTAGCATCCAGATGAGTTTAAAAGGAAAAAAAAGATGCTTAAATCAGGTAAACATGATTGGGTGTGGCACATTAAAGAGGAATGAACACAATTTCTTGAACAGTGTCTGGCTAGTTGACTCTGCCAGAGAAACACTGGGAAGGCTGCCCAGCTGAGGCACAAAGATGTCTTTGGAAAAGGCAGATTGAAGAAAGAGGAAAAGCCCAGAATAAAAGAATTCAAGTATGACAAGTTAAATGCCCTGTGGTCCTGGGGATCATGCCTAGAATCCTGGCTACTCAGAAGACTGAGGTCTGAGAACTGCAATATGAATCCAGCCTTGGCAGGAAAGTCTGTGAGACTCTTATCTCCACTAAACTACCAAAAAAGCCAAAAGTAGAGCAGTGGTTCAAGGACAATAGTGCTAGCCTGAGTCAAAGAAGCTCAGGGACAGCAGTGCCCAACCCCTGAGTTCAAGCACCAGGACTGGCACACACGCATGAAGTTTTCACAGTCACTTACCAGGGGCTCATGCCTATAATCCTAACTACTCAGAGAGCTGAGATTTGAGGATCACAGTTTGAAGCCAACCAGGGCAAAACAGTCCTTGAGACTCTTATCTCTAATTAGCAAAAGGGTTGAAGTAGAGGTGTGGCTCAAGTAGTAGAGTGCCAGTCTTAAGCAAAAAAAAAAAAAGCAAGGGAAGGGATGGGAAGGGTAAACAAAGGAGGAGGCTGCAATGCTTGGTAAGAAATGTACGCATTATCCTGCCCATGCAATTGTAACCCCTCTGTACAGTATGTTCACAAATAAAATAAAATTAAATTAAAAAAAAAGAAGGAAAAAAAAAAGAAGGAGAATTCAAACCCCAGTACCAACATACACACATACACACACACACACACGCACACACACGCACGCACGCACGCACACTTTCCCAATACTGAAGCTACTAGTGCCACCAGTAGACAAGTAGTTACTGACCCATACTGGTTGTCCAACAGTCAGCCCTCAGTATCCATGGGTTCTACATCTGCAGATTCAACCAATTGCAAATTGAAAGATTCAGGGAGAAAAATGCATTGTTCTGAACATATATAGACTTCTTTCCTATTATTCCCTAAATATTACAACATAAAACATGGAACACAGCATATTACATTCTGTTAGGCATTATAAGCAATTTAGAAGTGATTATCATTATTAGGAAGATGTGTGTAGGTTTTCTATAGGATTTTTGGTATCTGTAGGGAGATCGTGAGGGACAGATGTTCATTTGGTGACTGACGGTATGAATGTACAGGAATGAATGAGTGAAGTACATGAATTAGAATTGTCTTTGACCCAAGGTAACAGCTATTCTTTCTTCTTGATACCCCAGAGAAACTTGAGAGTGAGAAGCTAAATGTTGCTGAGGTCACACAGTCGGAGATTGCTCAGAAGCAAAAACTGCAGACTGTCCTGGAGAAAATCAATGAAACCCTGAAGCTTCCTCCCCGGAGCATCAAGTGGAACGTGGACTGTGAGTTGTACAAAGGACCCAGGCCCTGTTAAATGACCCTAGGGTTGCTACTGTGTGTCTTCCCCAAGTAACCAGAGCTGACAGGCCAAATATACAAACCTATCTCTTTTTGAGTTAAATATGCCCTTCCTTAGAAAGAGAACTTGCCATATCTTATTTTGCCAAAAATCTAAGTGTCAAAACCCCATGTCCCTCTCTGTAGAAACAGCTTTGTGTGAGATCTCTCACTCCCATGGAGCCACTCCTGAGACCCCCAGCAAAGCCTTTTAGAAGGCTGCTGTGTCCACCATGAAGAGGCTTTAGGAAGCCAGGGTCCACATGGCCATGCAGCTGGAAAGCTGGAAGTGATGTCTCAGCTCTGTCTCCAGAGCCCACATGCTCCTTGCTCCTTCCCTTTGCCAGAAGGAGCAAAGATACAGCATTGAAATAAGGTTGGTTTTTTTTTTTTTTTTTTGGTCAGTCATGGGGCCCGAACTCTGGGCCTGGGTGCTGTCCCTCAGCTCTTCAGCTCAAGGCTAGCGCTCTACCGCTTGAGCTATAGTGCCACTTCTGGCTTTTTCTGCTTAGGCGGTGCTGAGGAATCGAACCCAGGGCCTCATGCATGCAAAGCAAGCACTCTTCCACTGAGCCACCTTCCCAGCCTCTGAAACAGGATTTTTAAATGTGCTGGGACTAGAACTTGAACTCAGTGCTTAGTGCTCTCACTTAGCTTTTTTTGCTCAAGGCTGGCACTCTACCACTTGAGCTACATCTGTACTTCCAGGTTTTGCTGGCTAATTGGAGATAAAAGTTTTCATAGATTTGTCTGCCTTGGCTGGCTTTGACTTGTGATGTTCAGATATTAGCCTCTTGAGTAGATAGGATTATAGACATGAGCTACTGAATCTGGCTTAAATTTGGCTTTTCACAGCTAATGTAGCTCTAAGATCTTAGAAAGTATAAACCTTCATTCATCTGCTGTCTCAAGAGTCAGTCTGGGTCCTAGCACAGACTTAATGAGTCCATATGACAATCCACATTAACTTCACAGACCAGATAAATCTAGTAATGACAATGTATGTCCTGTTAGGGAGTCCAAAGGTAGTTTTATCTTTGTAGTAGATAAAAATGCCAAAAAAAATGACAGTACAAATGATTAGACTGTTTTAAGTATTAGAGGCTAGGTAATATACTAAATTTAAGCTAAAATGCATACATTCTGACTCTCCCCACTCCACCCACAAAATAAAATTTTAAAAAAACTTTTAAATTTGGAAAAAGAAAGGAAACTATGCCTTTCAATATAGTGACCTGATAGCACTGCCAGCAGTAATCTCTTCTTCAGGTTTCTAATGTCTAACACCCAGGCACAGACACCAGGTACCTCCTTCAGCATAATTACACCTTTGCTGACACAGCTACATAGCATGATGAGCTGCCGTGAGTAGCACACAACTAGGAACAGGGCATTCTCTGCCAAGCACAGGGAGACAATGACTACGCCTGAAGCCAGAGAAGGGGGACTCTGGGTCTGATTGCTGGCTCCATTCTTTATCACCTGTGTGACCCTGGACCAGTGATGCCTCTATAGCAAATATGCTCAATATGTGCCCATCACTTCTGGGTTCAGGGATCCAGCAGTGAATAAGCACAATCCTTGCCTTCAGGATGCTTCCATTCATAGTCCTGACCTCTCTATGCCTTGACTTTCTCATCTGAAAATGGGGATAAAAAAAGATTCTTACTCAGATGGTTAAGTAAATATTGCAAGGATTAAAACATATTAGGCTGGGCTTGTGGCTCAGTGGTAGAGTGCTTCCCTAGCATGCACGAAGCCCTGGGTTCAATTCCTTAGTACACATAAATAGAAAAGGCCAGAAGTGGTGCTGTGGCTCAAGTGGAAGAGTGCCAGCCTTGACCAAAAGAAGCTCAGAAACAGTACCCAGGCCCTGAGTTCAAGCTCCAGGACTGGCAAAAAAAGTGTGTGTGTGTGTGTGTGTGTGTGTGTTTAGAGGAGTACAAATGAGACACTAAATACCATAATATAGACTAATATTTAAATGTCTTATATCTGCATTTGGAAAGTTTCAGTAATAAAAAATTGCCGCTATGGCCAGGCGCCGGTGGTTCTAATCCTAGCTATTCAGGAGGCTGAGATCTGAGGATCGCGGTTCAAAGCCAGCCCGGGCAGGAATGTCCGTGAGACTCTTATCTCCAATAAACCAGTAGAAAAACCAGAAGTGGCACTGTGGCTCAAGCAGTAGAGCACTCGCCTTGAGCTGAAGAGCCGAGGGACAGTGCCCAAGCCCAGAGTTCAAGCCCCATGACCGACCAAAAAAAAAAAAAATTGTCGTTATGAATAGGAAAAAAGAGCAGCACTAAGGCCCTAGATCAGGGACATTGGTAATTCAGCAGCTTGTTCTGCCATCCTTTCCTGAGCAGAAAGACAACACAATGTCCCCAGATAGACAGCCAGAGCTGCTAAATAGAGACAGGAGGGAGAGAACTTTCCCTCAGAGCTCAGCCTGCCACATTCCTTATGGAACCAGCCACTACCTCTTGTAAATAAGCCCAGCTCTTCTTGTCTTGAGGCGTTGCAGGGAGCATCCACAGAGGTAATTAACCCTCCAACCCAGTAATTCAGTTCTGGAGCTCTATGAAAGGGAAATAATTCATGGGATGTAAACAGAGACACAGCTAAGACATTTAACTTTGTGTTCTCTCGGTATAGCAACAGGTTCAAAAACTGTAAAGGATCATAATCAACCTAGGACTTAAATTTACTACAGAATAGTTAGAAATAGAAGCAGATATCCCAAATTGTTAACTATGAAGGCCACAGGACAGACAGAAATCACGCATGATAGAATACTAACAGAAAATAAGGAAGCACAAACATAGACTAAAACATGTAAATGCATGCATATTTTGTGCATATTTTAATGGTCACGTGAACATATGAATAATCATGATTCTTATACACATTTTCTCAAACAAAGTTAAAGTGAGCATGAACTGAACAAATCATCTAGAGCCACTGAAGACCATGTTCTTTTTTTTTTTTTTTTTTAACCAGTCCTGGGGCTTGAACTCAGGGCCAGGGCACTGTCCCTGAGCTTCTTTTGCTCAAGGCTAGTGGCTCTACCACTTGAGCCACAGCGCCACTTCTGGCTTCTTCTATTTATGTGGTCCTGAGGAACTGAAACCAGGGCTTCATGCACACTAGACAAGTACTTTACCACTAAGCCATGTTCCCAACCCTAAGACCATATTCTTGATGTACACTTATCTCGGCCTTTTGAATGGAAGCCAGGATAAGGGCTTTTCTGTGTTTTTCGGTGTTGTTGTTGTCATTCTTCTGTATTCTAGGAAGTGGGACACAGGGTAAATCAGAACTAGCAGGGGTCTTCCTTCCAGGGGTTCTCCAGTACTCATCAATGACTGAGCACTTCTTCCCTTTTTGTTCTCCCTCACAAGAACACTATTAGCATTTCGAGGGACAGGGGGAAATATAGCTCCTCTCCAGAATAGCTTGTGGCACCCAGCTCTGAGGAAGAGTTCCCTCCCTCCTGTCTCCATTTGCAGCTTTAGCTGTCTATCTGGGGACACTGTGTTGTCTTTCTGCTCAGAAAAGGATGGCAAGAACAGACTGTTGAATTACCAAGGTGCCTGATCTAGGGCTTTGGAGCTGCTCTTTTATCCTATTCATAACATCAAAATTTCCAAATGTAAATAAAAGAAATTTAGTATTAACTAGTGTAGGTTATCTTGTGTGTGTGTCTGATAAATGGTGTCCAATATACATGTATGTACATATGCACAGGAGTCCTCCCTTATTCAAAGGTGGTAATGTGTTATAAGACCCCCAACTGCCTGAAACCATATGTGGTCCCTAAATGTATATATTGTCTTTTCCTATACATGCACAAATTTAATGTCTTTTCCATCTTAACTAAGCAAGTATACACTATAACTGTACTTTTTTGCACTTGAAAGTAAAACAGCAAAACTAGCACCAATTTCTTTTTCCTTTTTCACAATTCCCTAAGTAGAACACTCATTCTTACCATAGATCTTAGCAATCTCAGTGTACAATTACCTTCTCACTTTTAAAGAAGCACTTTACACCTTCTCTTCAGCATATCTGAATTGCCAGCATCATTATTCTGTACTTTGGGCTGTATTAAGTAAAACAACACAAGCACTGATCCTGAGACACTTGGGGAATACTGTGTATGCCTGTGTGGGTCTATGTGTTTTATAAAAGTGAGGTCAACCTGTACATGTAGGAAGAAATGTCTTTTTAGTTGTTAACTATTTGATATGCTACTGTTATATAAATGACATTGTATATAACTAATGGTAAGTGTTTTTAGATGTGAATTTTCACATTAATAACAATATGGTTTGATGAATTCTCTGCCGTAAGACCCATAATTGTTCTTTTAGGATGAATACTTAGGAGTGGTGTCTTAGGACTAAGGAGGATGTACATTTTCAAGGTCATAATATATATTATCAAACTACCTCCAGTTTCTGTTTCTACCACAGAATATATTTAGAGGACTATTTCTAATTCCATAGCTGTTTTTAAAGCTGTCTTCCAGCCCAGGAGTGACTTGTGCACAGTACATACAGTGGAGCCATGGTCCTTGCTCTTACTCAGCCCGTTTTGATCCTTCCCCAAGCACAGGCTTAGGGCAGCCTTACAGTACTGAGTGGCGTGAGGAGAAAACACCCAGGGGAGGTGCCAGAACCAGCAACAATGAAGGGGCCCAAACATGCAGCAGTTGTTAGAATTATTTTAAGCTATCTTTCTACTTTAGCATGACTATATTCTAAGTGATGGCCACGTTATATTTGTGTGTGTTCATATATAGAGAAATAGATACATATGCATTTATAGATCTATATGTCCATAAATTTATATTTTTATCTCATTCCTACTAAATTGGCCTTTAACATTACATTATCTATATTTATACCTCCATTGTCTTAATGATTTTCAGTGCATGCAAAGTGTGTGTGTGAGTGTGTGTGTGTGTCTCTCCCCCCCCCCCCATCCGTGTCCTGGGGCTTGAAACTCAAGACCTGGGCATATATCTGAGCTTTTGTGTATCTGAGCTTTTGTGTATGTGTGCCAGTCCTGGGGCTTGAACTCAGGGCCAGGGTGTTTTTGCTTAAGGCTAGCATACTCTAGCGCTTAAGCCAAAGCTCCACTTCTGCCTTTTTTGGTGGTTACTTGGAGGTAGGAATCTGAGGGACTTTCTTGCCCAGGCTAGCTTTGAACTGTGATCCTCAGCTCTCATGCTACTGAGTAGCTAGGATTACAGGCATGAGTCCATCACTCTCAAAGCTTTTTGAATCAAGGCTAGCCCTCTACCAGTGGAGCCACAGCTTCACTTCGGTGGTTAATTAGAGATAAGACTCTCCCAGACATTCCTACCTGGGCTTGTTTGGAACCTCCATCCTCAGATCTCAGCCTCCTGAATGTAATGATGCCCCCAGGCCCAGGACAAGTTCTCTCATTTTGTGACTCTACTATAACTCTGGAACATAGTGATTGTGAAAATATGCTTGGTCCAGCCTGGAGATTACAAGGAGGAACTCGGGTGTCACTGGGGAAATGACAGGCAGCCATCGGTGGGCTCATAATCATCGCTTTTTTTTTTTGAGTTTTTTTAAAGTCATTTCTTGCTTCTGGAGATTAGTGTATCCCAGGGTTGAATTTTGATGATAATATATCACATAGTAGTTAACATCTTTATCCTCATAGTGTGTAATTATTCCTTTTGAAAGGATCCCCAGGCAGACAGAGCATTGATCAAAAGTATTTGACAACTGTTTGATGCTTTTGATATTGTCACATATTGCTCACCAAGATAGTCTTGATGATGTATAGATGATGTACAGCTTATATGACCACAACATTTCCAGCATAATGTTTTGTCATTAAAGGAAGGGTGACAGCAAGTGTACTTCTAGCCCTCAGACTCAGACCAGGGGTGGCAAGACAGTTCTAACCAGAGGATCAGCCATCAGTGATTTTTTATCTCTGCCCCTTAGTGACGGTGCCACTTTTAGGAGAACACTCCCAGCCAGGAGCCTCTTTGGAGCTATACTAAGTATAGGTAAAACTCAGTTGACAATGCCAACATTGTCTTCTTTGGAAGGCTGGGCATTCGGAACCCATTGCCTGCTGCGTCGTGTGATATTGAGCTGCTGTTCTCAGTCTGTTGAAATAGTGAAGATAACAAGAAACTCTAATGAATTCCAAAGGAATGTCTGAATCATTTCCTTTTCTGGTGATTTCTCAAAGCTTCTGCTTCCACAGACTTGTCAATCCAGGGAAGACAGAATGACACACTCATAATGAGTCCAGTGCATACTCAGGGCACAAATAGCTTTCTGGGTTTTTTCTTTTTTTTTTTCACTTAAATGGCCCCTAAAGGGAAAAGCCATGTTGCTGATAGGGCTGTGGCACAGGTAAAGCCCCTCGCAAATCTTCCTTTTATGAGAAGGAAAAGGGAGAAATCTAGTGTGTTTTGATTGCCTAGGTGCCAGGTACTTTCATGTAAGTTATACTTTCTAAGTATCAGGCATTTCTGAGCACCTGATTTGTTCCAGGAGCCCTTCCTTCATTGTCTCTAGAAATCCTTACAACCTAAATCTTGTCATACCCATTTGTACAGTTGAACAGATTAAGGCTCAGAGGCTTCAAGTGGGCTGTCCTACCCAAGGTCAGAGCCCCAGTGAGTAAGTGGCAGAATTACACAGTCACAATTCAAGCTTCATTGTGCCTGACATTAGGTATCAGCCTTTTTCTCCTCATCTACTGAGAAAACCACAAGCCAAGATAGTCCAGCCTTCTCCAGTGTAAATGGCTTAACATTCAGCACATGGCTTTGCAGCGCTAGAAACCTTTGGGGTCATAAATACCAACTCTAAGCTGTTCCCTCGGGCATGACCTATGCTGACCACTCATTTTTCTTTCTCAGGAAAGCAACAAAGCACTTTAGGTGGCTCTTGTGCTTTCCTTCAGAGAGCTCAGCCCCAAACAGAGGCCTAGGGCCCCCAACTCAGTGCCCATTTGTCCAGTGTTGGTTAGAGGTAGTGTGAACAATCCAAAGAGATAAGCTCACAGTATCTGAAGGGCAGGAATAGGGACACAGGGCTGGGGAGCAAGTAGCTGAACTCACAATGCATTGGCATCCTGATGGGAGCCTGAGTTAGAATAGAAACCCAGGGCTGGGAGAGTGGCTCAGTGGTGGAGTGCATGCCTTACATGCATGAGGCCCTGGGTTCAATTCCTTAGCACCACATAAGCAGAAAAAGCAGGAAGTGGCACTGTGGCTCAAGTGGTAGGCTCAAGCGCTAGCTTTGAGCTGAGGGACAGCACCCAGGCCCAGAGTTCAGGCCCCTGGAAATGACCAAAAAAAAAAAAAAAGCAAACTAGCCAGGCGCCAGTGGCTAATGCCTGTAATCCTAGCTACTCAGGAGGCTGAGATCTGAGGATCACAGTTCAAAGCCAGCCCCGGGCAGGAAAGTCTGTGAGACTGTTATCTCTAATAAACTACTAGAAAACCAGAGGTGGTGCTGTGGCTCAAGCAGTTCAGCGCTCGCCTTGAGCTGAAGAGCACAGGGACAGCGCCCAAGCCCAGAGTTCAAGCCCCACGATCAACAAAGGAAAAAAAAAAATAGAAACCCTGCAGTAATAAGACCCAAAGAAGGGACTCCAAGGGACCTGGCTAGGAACTGAGAGGCCCATGGTGACTGAGGGACCTTCAGGGGGGACAAGGGGGCACCGAGTGGAGTACATTCTGACTATCTACTTACGTTGCCTAGGACCTAGAAGAAAATACTCTCATTTTTAAATCCTTCCATTTCAGCTGTTCACGCCAAGAGCCTGGTGGCCATCTTACACCTACTGGTTGCTCTGTCTCAGTATTTCCGGGCACCAATCCGACTTCCGGACCATGTTTCTATCCAGGTGGTTGTGGTCCAGGTAAGATGAACACCGCAACAACCATATGCCTTTAAAGAGCCGTGGAAGCAACATGGCTCATGCCTGTAATCCTAGCTACTCATGAGGCTGAGATTGAGAATCATGATTCCAAGACAGCCCAGGCAAGAAGGTCCTTGAGATTCTTACCTCCAATTAATCACCAGAAAGCTCAAAATGGAGCTGTGGTTCAAGTGGTAATGTACTAGCCTTGGATGGAAAAGGAGACAGTGCCCAGACCCTGAGTTCAAGCCCTAGGACCAACACAAAAAAAAAAAAAAAAGAAAGAAATCTGTGGAAGCAACATTCTTGTAAGAGTTAAAGCACATTGGGTATGTTGTTAGAAGAACTGACAGTACAGCTGGGTGGGTGCTGAGCCTGCTTGGCTGTGTGTTAGAAGTTACATGAGCAACATCAAATACACATGGGCTTTTGCCTGCTAGATGGATAAAGGAATGGCGCAAGGGGAGTATGTTAGTATATACAGTAGGGCTGTATGAGGTCTGTCCCTGGAGTTTACATGTTTTTGTTGGGAGAAGGTAGAACGTAGATTTGGGAGTATATGTTATGTTTCTGAGGCATGTGTGGTAGGGCAGAAGAAAAGGTGTGTGTTCATGTTCACACATGTGTACAGGGTGCCCAGAAAGCTATGGAGAAATGAGGTATTGGGGGAGGTAGCCGGGTGTGGGGGAAGGGGTGTATGCATGTGTGAGACCTCGCTGGCCATGCCTGGATTGGAGGCACTGCTGCTCCTCACTCACCAGCCAACAAAGCCGGGACCTCAAGTCATCTTTTCCAGATTGTTGGATGGAATTTCCATTCACATATGGCTGTGTCATTTCCACAGTGAGGGTGCGCTCTCTCCCCACGACTATCTCACTCCGTTCCTAACCCCATTAAATACTCAAATGCAATTTTGTTTTCCAACTTTATGCCCATTTAGCACAAGGTCACCGTTCTGTTTGTGTGCTTCTGTTCTTTTCCAAATAAACAGGCAGTGAAGGCAAACTCTCTGCACAAGCAGCTCCCTGGATACCTGAGGCTACCCAGGGTTCTGGAATAGACAACAAGAGGCAACTCTGCTATCCCTGAGTGAGGGAAAGGCTTGCAGGCTGGGAAACTTTGCCAGGTCAGGCCAGGCCAGTCTGCAGGATAAAAGAGCTTAGAAGCTGAGCTTTCAGGTATCAGAAGAAGATAAGCTAGGAATAATGACACCATAGCCCTACCTGCCAGGAAGCAAGACTACAACTAGGAAGCAGAAGGCTATCAGCTATCCGTGCTAAGCTGTGAGGCAGACTCTTAAAGTGCAGCTGACTGTCAGGTACTAATTATGCTCATTTATTGAGCCCTTTGTATGAGATAGGGTGCTTGGCATGTTGTATGTGCTGTAGATACACAGTACATTCTGGATACAAGCATCTTCATGGTGGACCAGGTCATCTCCACTGTGTTAATGATGGGTGAAGCCATCTTGTGTTTTTGTAAGTACCATTGGGGGAAGGAGAAATGAATAGGTGAAGCACAGAGGATTGGGGACAGGCAGGAGGGCGGGGGTGGGGGGAGGGAACAGTGAAACTATTCTGTGCAATTCTACAGTGAGGGATATATTTGTCTAGAGTTATAAAATAATGTAGTGCATGAAGGGTCAGCTCTAACAAAAATCTGTGCTTTCAGAGGCTAGTGATTGGTCACTGCAAGTTCTGCAAGGTTATCCGTAATGGCTTGGGGGAAATCTCAGCATCTGTGAACCTACAACTACTCTAAAAAACATAGTCTACTAAATACCACGATTCCTGGAACAGTAAATGAAAGACTACATAATGAAAGACTACATAACTTTTTTTTTTCAGTACTGGGGTTTGAATTCAGGATCTGGTAGTCACTAGCCAGGTGCTCTACCACATGTGCTATTTCCCTAGCCATGTTTGCTTTGGTATTTTTCAGAAAGGGTCTGAATTTTTGCTCGGGATTTGCATAGGACTGTGATCCTTCTACTTAGGGCCTCCCACAAGTTAGGATCACAGATATGCACCACCATACCTGTCTTCCTGATGGAGATGATGGGGTCTTGTTAGTCCTTTTGCCCAGATTGGCCTTAAATTGCAATTCTGATTTCTGCCTTCCAAGTAGCTAATACATTAATTAATCATATTTATTTGAACTCATGGCAGACCTCCTGAACAATACCCCCAGCCTCTTTGCCATTAGTTATTTCAAGGTGGGGTCTCACGCTATGCTTGGGCTGGCTCAGGTTGCAGTCCTTCGACATGTGCTTCCCTACATCATTGGGGATAATGGGCAGGTGCCACTGCACCAGTCCATTATGTTTTCCCGTAGCTTGGGCAGTAGGCATGTACCGCCATGTCCATGGTTGAAATGGACCTTTAAGTCATGTGCTTCAACCTGAACACCAATCTCAGTCTCCCTAAGTAGCTCGGATGTCAGGCTTGTGCCAACATTCCTGGAAGACCTGAAAAATGTTTCAATTGTATAAACGTGCTCTTGTTATATTCATATAACAAAAGAGGTGTATATTTAGATAAACCTCTTCCATTGCTAGTGGAAATACTTTTATGCTCACTGACCTCTTGTACCTTCTCTTTTCAATCCCTTACTCACTTATTTATTGAACATCTTTATTTTTCCTACCAGCTAGAATAAACAGTTCTAATGAAAATAGCAAAATATGGCTGTTAGAACACCTGTGGACAAAAAATTATGACAAGGTTTGAGGCCTCCTATTTTGAAACAGCCTGCATCTCAGGCCTTATTTTGAGCTTACTCATAGACCATTAGACGGCTGTTGTAGGTTTCATTTCCTATAGGAAGTTAACATGACGACATAGAAGAAGAGGATGTATTACACCAAGTAGCGTCGCCCATGTCATAAGTTACAGAGTGATTTGTTTCATCAAGTGAACAGGTACAGAAGTTGGCCTCAGAAAGTTCCTGGATGAATTGTAGGAAGAACTCTCCAGTGGATAAATAATGAAGAGAGTTGAGATGATAAGCAAGGGCCTGTTTAACCCAGATTTCCTTTCCATTCTACCTATACAAAAGCACTTAATTCCACTTGAACTGAAAGGTGAAGTTTTATGTCTGGAAATGGTCTTAGAAGACCAAGGTTCCACCAGCCCATGGGACCCTGTGACATGTTACTAAACTCAATTCGGAAAAAGTCTTTATCATCTATCACCTGGTCACCTTTAAATTTCTGTTTTTCCCTTTACTTCCTTTTTTAGCTTGATAGTTCATTCTTTGTGTAAACTGGTGAGACTGTTGGCTTTGTCTAGCTCTGTTTTCCCTTTGGTCAGAGAGTTTTGCAAGGACACTAGTGTCTGGGAATGTAAGAGGACATTTATGGAAGTTTTGATAGGAGGCTAAAGAAGGTGTGTCAGCTAAGCTCTTTAACACCCACCTCAGCCTTGAAACCAACCTGCTCTGTGAATCCTATATCCTGCCCAGACTGTCGTCCAGGTGCCCAGTGCTGGCTGTCTAAGCACCAATTAGTGAATTTGCCTGCTGGTACCCATCAAAAAAGCTCCCTAATGCTCCTTCATTAGCCCCAAGGCCACACAGCAAAGGCACAACTCTCCAACCAGCACTCAGGGCTGCCCAGAGACTACCTTCCTTCCAAAGGAATCACTGCTCAGATTTGTGCTGTCCTGATTCTGCATGTTGGCTGAGGGCATTCCTTCCTGCAGTGGACCCTCAGTGTCTAGCCACATCCTAGCTCTCCTGGAAGTTGCTACTTCAGGAACCGCCCCACCCTCCACCACCAAAGGCGGCTTTTCTGGCCATCCATCTGAAAGGCCACACCCCCACCCTGCATCCAGCACTTCCTCTTTGCACAGAGCAGCCACAGAATTATTATCCGTAACACTTCTGAGAGTGAAAGGAACCTTTTAGTCATTAAGGTAAAGATATCACCCAGGACCATTCAGGGAACCATTCTCCCTTGCCTACTTCCTCCTACAGCTTTTACTCTTAAGTTCTCAGAAGCCTTAAAGCCAGGTCACACACTCCATAGTATCTGTTCTAACTCCAGTCCAGGGCCTCCTCTAGAGGAGGAATTGCTGGAAGAGGGTTGGGCAAGGGATGGATGCACAGCTGACTTGCTGGTTGGCTGGGTGAGGCTCTCAAAATGCTCTACCTTTTTCTCAGGGTACCTATGTAAGATCCACACTAATTAATAAAAAGCTTCCAGTAAAAAAAAAAAGTAAAACAAAGCAAAATGAGTTTAAAAAGAAAAAAAAAGTTATGCCTCTTTCCGAATTCTCCAAGTTGGCCTCAGTTCTTCTATCCAGCAACTCTAGTTAAAAGTCTTTCTCAGCCTCCCTCCATGGCCCCAGCTGGAGGGCAGACACACCCTGGCCTTCATTTCCATTTGGTTTACTGTGTGTTACTCCGGGAGGCTCACAGTTTGCTTCCAGCAGAAAGTCTTCCAAGAAAAGAAAGATTCACCATCCAAGAGACAGCCTACTTGTTTGGACTAAACACTAATCGCACTGCTCCTAATGGTACAGTCCAGGCCCCCAAACTCAGGGCCTCTGTTCCCTTCTAGGATTATCTTGTCTCTAGGAACATTTCTTTAAAACGCCAGTAACTTTCTCAATGTCAGAAAGGCTAATCATTTTTTTTGTTATTTTTCTGAAGCATATTTTTGTCTTTTCTTCCCCAATTCTCCCTCCCTCCCCTATTTCAGAAACGAGAAGGAATCCTCCAGTCCCGGCAAATCCAAGAGGAAATAACTGGTAACACAGAGTATGTCAACACCATTGTTGCCAACGAGTCTGTAATGGAACACAGATGTTTCTCCGAAATTCACCCATTTGCTGATATTTAGCTTTCATTTATTGGGATTGCAGGAGGGATTAGCCTACAGCCAATGATTATAGTTTAGCCTTTTCCATGCATTCAAAACATGCCTCTCAATGCTCAAGGTACAAACTTGGGTGGGGAAGTGGGGAAGGGGTATTAGCGGTGATTGAAAATTCTAATTTTGTGGCACTCCAGGAAAAAAAAAGTCTGTGCCCAAAAAAGCCAACCAGCATGGAATCGTAGTGCCATAAACACAGGGTTGAATTTAAATTGTTAACCTTCACAAGGGTGCTTTTCTTCTTTTTTTTCTGAATCTAATTTATTTGGTCATGTGCCATGACCCAAAAATGTCCCCCACCACTTTTGAGTTGAGTTGTCTTTCAGGGGTTTGGTTTTGTTACTTACATTTGCTTTTAAAAATCAGAAAATCAGGACATGGGAAAGACTTGCCGTGAGGAACTGGAGCTTTGATCTTAAGCAGAAAGCGCGGGTTGGTGGAAGGCTTTGGGATCATCAGGCTGGCCTTGCTCCTGATCCCACATGAAGCTAAGCAAAGTTAGATTCTGGCCTCCCCTGTGCCCTGACTTTTCTGTCTGTCCCCCTTGAATAAGAGCAGTACACTGGAAAGAACAGGTATCTGTAAGTCTTGAGTATCTGAACCCCTCTAACCTTAGTCTCCTCATCTGAGTGCTGAGCTTTTTGCTAGCCTAGAGGCATAATGGCCCTCCTTCCTGTCCTTCCTGGTCCTGGCTAACCCTCCCCTTGCAGGCCCTATTCCATCTCTAGGAAGCTCCGTTACATTCTCCAGCATGGCCAACAGGAGTCCTGGGCTCTGCTTGTCTAGACTACATGGTGCATAAGGGCACCTGTAGCAGTGGTTATACGCATAAGGCCTCAGAGCCCAGGGGTGATGGACACTCTAGCCTTGGTCTATCCTACAGAAAGTCCATGTCCATTAATCTTCCCAAGATACTAAGTATAGGTGATCCTTAGTAGGTGATAGGTATACATGTAGATAAACCAATATCATAAGAATCATGAGAACCAAAAACATTGAGAAAAAAAATGTTTTGAGCATTTATGTTATATACTAGGAATTAGGTAACTTCCCTCTAGATATTAAATGCTCATGACACCCACTGAAGTGCCTTGTCGTTACTGTCCTCATTTTTGAGACAGAGAGATCTGGAGGCCAGAGAGGTTCCTCAGCTTGTTGGAAGTCACACAGGGGAAATAAGTCTCATTAGTAATTTGTCTCTGCTACTTAGACTTTGCTGTTTTTCAGCTGCCCATGTGAGTCTAGCTCCTCCCCTTCTCTAAAAAAAACATCCTAGGTCAGTGGCAGGTGCAGCTGTATATCACAGGATGGGCATGGAAGAGACAGCTGACCTTCCAGGTAGTTGTACACAACTACCAGGGCAGAAAACCTCTACACTGAAGGAGGGCATGCTGCTCTCTGTCCCGAGAACCAGTTAGAATCTTCAGCCCCCTAACATCAGTATTCTTTTGTAACTACAGGCCATAGAATGATTTATGACAAGAACAAACCCTGCACGAATCACAAGGCTAGAGTTTGCATTAACACAGGTAATCTATGTAGCAACAGAGAAAAGAGGTAGTAACAACGTGAAGTCTCATCCAAGGCCAGACTGGTGGCAAGGAGGGAGGGGCTGACTCCTCTCACAGGACTAGACTCCTGAGAGTTGGAGGGGAAAGTCACACTGCTGTCTTTCTTTCCTGCAGGGCTCTGTCGGGAAGGCATGGTGAGTTATTTGAGGCTGCAGCAGCTGCCTAGACGTGTGTCTGCTTCAGCCTGGGGATCCAGCTGGCTGGGTGGGAAGGACAGCTGACACTATCCCTCATTTGCTGGTCTGCACAAGCCTGGTCCTGCAGGACAGGCTTGCCCTGTGGGTATGGGAGAAGCACAGGAGGAGGCGTATGAATGCTCTCGGAGACCAGGCTCTGCCCCTCACCTTCTTTCTTCCTTATCCCTTTGGGCTTACTTATGAAGTCCATGAAGGTCAGAGATCCCCTTCCAGCAGTTTCAGCTTTGGTGGAGAAGGTCACAAATACTCCAGCCCCGGGTTGTAGCAAGAATCTACATGAGCATATGATGTGGCTATTCTTCTGTTATCTTGGTATTTACTGAGTATTCTTATAAAATAGCCCACTATGCTGAAAACAAGGGACGTCAGTACAGCACAGAGTTTATAGAGCACACACCCTCGCCTTCCATCTACATGACAAACCAGTGCAAAGTCATCTTGCATGTGGCATTTTATAGAAAGGGAAACCGAGGCACAAAGCACTTACAAAATGTAGATCCCTCTGGAGAAAGCATTCACATTCTCTCCTCAAGCATGCAAGGTCTCCATCTCTGTCTGTGTTTGTCTTGGCTATCTTGAGTTTGAAAATAAGGAGCTGAAATACTCTGATATTTGGATAGCATTCTCCTTCCAAAGAGTTTCAGAACACTAGAACCATGAGTGCACCCTGATGCTGTGGCATAGGGCTGAGCCCAGGACCGTTGCCTAGCAAAGTCCTCATACACAGCAGATCAGCTCAGTGGAGGACTGATCCTTGTAACCAGGGTGAACACACAGAAAAAGGCCCAGAGGGTAGGAAACAGCCTCAACTCAGCCAGATCCCAGACTGCAGAATACCCACCACTGCCTGCCTCCCAGACCATTTCCAGTGGGAGCCGGCGGTGGGGCTTCCCACCAGGACCGCACTCTGTACTCCACATTCCTTCCTTCTCTTTTAGAACGTGATGCCTTCGACACCTTGTTTGACCATGCACCAGACAAACTCAATGTGGTGAAAAAGGTGGGTGTGAGGCCTCCGAGGGAGTGAGTGGGGGGCGCTGTAGGGAAACCTGTGCTCTGGTTCAGTGTCATGACCTCACCTCTGCACACACAGGGCTCTCTTTGATGCCCATCTGTCTGTCTCTTCTGTAGGGCCTCACCCAGGTTTCGTACTTTGAGGTACCAGTCCCATTTCCCTTTCAAAATGACTGCCAGCCCTCCCCGTTCATCACACAGATCTTCCCATGGGTACAGTGGGGAGCCGTGTCATTAGCTGCACCAAAAAAGGAACTCGGGAATCATTTTATCCCGAGCCATCTTGCTAGCTCCTTTCCCACCCTGCAAACTCCAGCCTCAGATGCCCTACCTGTCAGCCTGTTTCTCAGTCCTCTGTCACGTGCGCTGCTAAGAACCTGTGCCTTTCCCTGGGGCTCCAGGGCCTTTCCACGGGCTGCCCACTCTCAGGGCGGACTCCCAGGGGGGAATCCTGAGTGTGGCACAGACAGGAGTCTCCACTTCAACGTCCCTGTGTCTTTTTTTGTAGACCCTCATCACCTTTGTGAACAAGCACCTGAATAAACTGAATCTGGAGGTCACAGAACTGGAAACCCAGGTGGGTGACAGCTGGAGAAAGGGTGGGAAGCAGGTGGTGGACAGGCAGTGGTCCACGTGCCCCACCCACTAGGCGAGGCTTTCCCACAAACCTGCAGCTTTCCAGGCTGAGGGGCAAAGCATGAGGTCTGCTCCACTCAGCGGTCCTCGGGCCCTGCTCAGGGTCAACCGCTTTGAGGAGGGCTGAGCCCATGAGTTCCAGCTAGTTAACGTGCAAAGTTCATTCAGCACCTGCTCTAGGCCCATGCTGCACTCCACCTGTGGTTCTTCTCTTCCTAGAGCAAGACCAAGAAGTCTGGACTCTTGTGAACAAACTATTGTTTGTTCCCACAAACAGTGGCCCAGCCTTTGAAAGGTTCTAGAATATCAATCATACATACAACCATGGATCTGTTCTCAGGTCACCTCCACACTGGTATACAGACCCTCTCCAAAATGCTTTCACCCCAGGCCCCTGCTGGTGTACAAGTGGACAATGACCTACTCTGATTTCCTTGCACTTAGTCCACGAGCCTCTTTTCCCCTGAACCAAACCTCCCTGGCTCTACTGCCCAGCAAACCTAGGAAGTCAGGTTTGGATTTGCTTTCTTGTTTACCCAGATAAGAATAAAAGTAGTCATTTGTATTGACTGTCAAGTCAAGCAGGTCACAAATACTTTACTGGTTTAGTCTTCTCTATAATTCTATGGGGAAGAGAAACAATGCTGTTAACATCCCCATTTTACAGATGAGAACAATGAGGTATAGAGAAGGTCAGAGTACCATAGCTAGTAAGTAGTATGACTGGAATTAGAAACCAGAGCCCACCTTTGTACAGCTGCCCTGGGCCGCCTATCTAGCCATGCGCAAGTAATATTTGAGAAAGGAGAATGGCAGTCCCATATGATAACACAGTTCTTTCTCTGTGCAAAAAGCAAAAGTCAGCAGGATGCTGGTGGCTCACACCTATAATCCTAGCTACTTGGGAAGCTGAAATCGAAGGATTGCAGGCAGGAAAGTCCATGAGACTCTTTTCTCCAATTAACCACAAAAAGTTGGAAGTAGAGGTGTGGCTCAAGTGGTAGTCTACTAACCTTGAGCAAAAATCTCAAGGACAGTGCCCTAGGCCCTGAATCAAGCCCCCAGAACTCACACACACACACAGCAAAAGTCATGGGCGTGGTGCTGCACACCTGCAGTCTCCCCACTCAGGAGGTTGAAGCAGGAGTTTGAGGCCATTTTGGCTATACAGTGAAACTGTCTCAAAAAAAAAAAAAAAGGCAGAGATCAGGGGATTGCAGTTAAAGATGAGCTGGGAATTAAAATTCAGGAGATTCCATCTTAGCCAATGGCTGGACACAACACAGTCCTGTCATCTTGGCCACACAGGGAAACACAAAGTAGTAGGACCATAGCCCAAGCTGACCTGAAAACCCTAGTTTGAAAATAGTCAACAATAACAACAACAATTTTAAAAATAAAAATCAGCTAGTGGTGTAGCTCAAGTAGTAGAATGCCAGCCTAGTAAACACAAGGCCTTGAGTTCACTCCTCAGTATCACCAAAAAGTATAACAAATGAAGGCCAAGTAGCTCTGGAAGCCTCCTCTTTTGCCTTGGATTTCACCTTGCTCTCCCCAGCCCCGCTCTGACTGTGCCTCTTACCTCTGATGCTTCTGTAGGTGACTGTTCTGTCTCATACAGAGCAGCCACCACAGTACTTCCACTTCAGTCTCTCCATGAGCCCCTCAATGGCCATGAGCCGCACTTGCCGAACTCTGGTCCCCATGCCCATATTAGAAATTGGGGTACACAGCCAATATTAAGCAATGCTAGATCAATTGGCAGCAGGCCTTGGACTTATGGATGAGATACTGAGAAAACTTGATAGCAGAGCTCCCTGACTTCGACCACTGACGCTCAGCCCTGCCAGCAGTCTTCCTGGGAGGTGGCTATTGGGTGGGAAGACATGGCAGATGAACCATCACCAACGGGGCTTGGCTCAGGACCAACAAACCATCATTTGCCTCTGGCTCTTGCTCTCTAGTTTGCAGATGGGGTGTACCTGGTGCTGCTCATGGGGCTCCTAGAAGGCTACTTTGTGCCCCTGCACAGCTTCTTCCTGACTCCAGATAGTTTTGAACAGAAGGTAAGTAAAAGGGGAATTGGGAAAGCCCAGAACCCTCATCATATACACTTGGGTGCAGGCTACCAGGGTAACCTCTGCCAGGTCAGCAGTGTTTGGAGGCAGGACTGACTGACAAGCAGCTAAGCTGGGAAGGAATGACTGAAATACTCCTAGGCATCCAGAAAGCCCTTGTATTCCCCAGCTTCCTAGCCTCCCCTCCTAGCTATGTGTTCCTATTGGTGCATGGCCAGTCTCATCTTCACAAGTAATAGGGAAGGTGGCTGGCTGCAGGGCTAGGTAGCCCTGTGGCACATGACCAACCTGGTTCTGACAGCCTCCCCTATGTTACCGCATCCTGCTCACTAGTCAGAGGTAGTTGGTTTTGAGTAGAGACCCTTCTCTGCCTCTTGATGTCTTGCCATCTGATCTTTTCAGATACATGCACAGATATACCCAGTTTTTAATGCAGGGACATGACAGGATGAGAAAAGGGCTGCTCTCGGAGCATTCTGGGATCAGCAAGCCCACCTTCTTCATGGCCTTCCCACTTCCATTCATGCTTGTCCTCAGATGAGCTCAGCATCCACCTTCTGGCTATAGTGCTGGGCTCTATAGTGCTGCACTGCCCAGGAACAGATCCTGAGGTCCCCACAGTCTGAGATTGAGCATAATACATACTCTGCATCTCTCCTGCCAGGTCTTAAATGTCTCCTTTGCCTTTGAGCTCATGCAAGATGGAGGACTGGAAAAGCCAAAACCACGGCCTGAAGGTATTGTGTCCTTCCCTGGGTGTGTAATGCTATGTTGAACGCTTCATTTGAGAATTTGGTTTGCAAAAACACCAATCCCTCGGTATCCATGGAAGACTGGTTACAGAATGTTTAATTTCCCTACATAAAATAGCCATAGTACAGTAGACGGTTGTATTCGTGAGTACACAGTTCCAAGAGATGTCATCGAGTAAAAACATGGCTGCTCAGGAGGCCTAGAACTTGACAGTATACTGTGGATACTTGATTCGTTTTTCCTCTAATGCCACCCAACTGCTGCTAGGTGTGCCGCCTTTCAACAAATCTAAAAATTTCACTTTATCACTTAAACTAAACACAGTCATATTTGCCTTGCTTTGGTGGGGTTGCCATTTGCTTCGGGGTAAGGCAAAGCTTCACAAAATGAAAGGCAGGAAAACAGATCACACACAACATAAACCCCACTAAAGATAATGTGGGACTGACTGAGAGCTTCTCCACATCTCCTGAGCAGCGTAATGAGTACAAGCAATTCCGTGGGTTTTGTTTCAAATTTTATTTATTTGACCATGTTTGGTCAAAAACATATGACCAAATCCTCAACTAAGGCGGGTTTACTGCATTTGACATGGCCTACTACACCATTAACGCCGTATGACTCGTTATATGTATACATATATGTTATGTCCATACATGCTCAGTGCTTTTGCAGTTCTTTGGGGTTTTTGTTTTGGTCAGTCATAGAGCTTGAACTCAGGGCATGGGCGCTGTCCCTAAGCTTCTTTTTGTTCAAGGCTAGCACTCTACCACTTTGAGCCACAGCTCTACTTCTGGTTTTCTGGTGGTTAATTGGAGATAAGAGTCTCATCAACTTTCTTACCCAGGCTGGCTTCAAACTGCGATCCTCAGATCTCAGCCTCCTGAATAGCTAGGATTAGAGCCATGAGCCACCAGTGCCTGGTTTTGTATATCTTTATTATCTGTAAGTAGTTGTACCAAGTGGTTTCAATGCAGTGTGTCAGTTTATGAGTACAGTGCATCTTGATTTGTTTCGGCCCTCTGTCCTGAATATTTTTGAGCTGCATTGAGTTGGAATCCATGAATGCAGAATCAGTGGGCATGGAGGGAGGGCTGACTGGATAAAACTAGGAAAATGCCCACACTTGGCCGTCTCATACATGTGTGAGTAGGAGGCATGTTTCTCTCAGTCACCTTCTTAGTATAGACATTTATTTTCTGCCTTGTACTGAGGCAACATTCCATTGTACCAGCATTGGCAAGTCCATCTTGTATTGTAGATAATATCTGTCACACTGGAACTCTGAGAAGGCTGGTCAGGGGTCCTCATGCTGGTGTTTTGTGGGTCATTTAGAGGGAGGGGCTGCCTCTGCTCTCAGTACGCAGTAGGTCAGGCACCGGTGCAGCCAATCTGAGTCCCTGCAGATACTGATGCACCAAGAGGGTAAGACTGTGCTTGCCCTCAAGTCTCCCACTGCCAACTAGGGAAGAGGAGAGACACACCAGTCACCCAGATAGAAGGATGGTTGTAGTCACAGCTAGGCGATGGCATGCCTAAGAAAGCGTGGGGATAGAGGGTGCTATTCTTCTGTCTGGGTACCCTGGGAAACAGGCGAGTGAAGATGGTGAAGGGTAGGATAAATCGAAAGGATCAAGAAGGCCTGGTGTGGATATTAGTATGTGTTAGTGAGCCAAAGTTCCACCTGGGGAATGGATTCCTGGCCTCATCATTCACAGCAGACCTCAATAACCATCAGCTCTAGTTAGGTATAAGGTGAACCCTGTATTCTTTCATTTCCACCAAGGCCTCAATCACCTCTAATTGAGGACCTCTAGCAAGGCTGTTGTCCCCCTGGGGCTTTCTTCCTGGAAAGGCCACTCTTGCCATCTTGATACCATTCACAGTGAACTCCTAGTGTCTCCTGGGCAGACCACGCATGCTTATTTCTGGGTAGGAGACACAGCAGAGTTTGGGGCCTCCTTCCTGCTGTGGCATTCATGAACTTCTTCAAGCGAAACCTGCCCACAGATCCAGATGTGCCTTCAAATCATTTGGATGCTCAGGCATCAGTTTCCCTTGGGGCAGATGATTTTCCTAGTGTCATCTATAAGAACATTTCAGTGTACAGATGACATTTCGTGAGCAATTATTGAACTGCTTAATATGAAACTTCCCGAGCAGTGTGAGTGGAAAATCACATCTGTTTTGTTTGTTGTTGCACTGGGCATTGTGCCCGGGCTGAAAATTTCCAGTGCGTAAAGGAGAACTGAAATGGTGCTTTGCGAAACTACTTAGTGAGAAGCGCGTCCCAGCCTTCCCTCCGGGTCCTGTGCAATCTCGTAGTAAATGCCACAGGCTTTATGGGTGATTCTTTGAGGATGTCTCCAAGTCAGATTGGCTGCGGTGGAAGCATTTTTCATAGCAAAATGTTTTTAAGGTCAAGAAACTTCATTCTGTGCTAAGCAGCTTGACCTTGGAGATCTCTTAGACCTTGAAATCCCTTAAGAATTTGGATTCTGAGAGTCAGATGATCCCAGGTGCATGATCTTTCACTGCTCTGACTGCTGTAAGCCAAGAATGAATATCACGTTCACAACTAGTACAACAGTTAAATGCAAGGCTGTTGTTTTGTGTTTATTTTTTTGTGCTGGTACCAGGGCTTGAACTCAGGGCCTCACATTCTTGCGTGGCTTTTTCGCCCAAGGCCGGCGCTCTTTAACATTTGAGCCATATCTCTTCTTCTGGCTTTTTGTTGCTTAATTGAAACTAGGAGTCTCTTGGATTTGTCTGGCCAGACTGGCTCCAAACGTCAGTCCTTGGATCTTCTGAGTAACTAGGATTGCAGGCGTGAGGCACTGTGCCCAGCTTGAGATGTTGGCTTTTCATTTGGGGCTAACCATCTTCACATGCCTCCCTCATTCTCATTCTGACAATTGAAGTAAATTGACCATCAAATATAGTTAGGACCTGTGCTATGAGAGCTGGCAGGGACTCAGAAGAAATCTAGTCCATGTAGGATTGAAGTATGTAGGGCACTTAGTGAACTGTTAAATAACTGCAGTATAAGGCAGTGGGTTGGGACCAGACTGTGGTGAACAAAACTGGAGAACAACCAGGCTAGGACAGCAGCTCAGGTCCAGAGATCAGGTCACCTGGAGAAAGACTTAGACCATGGCTGTACACTATGCAGAAATCGTGTACAGAAGCCAACAAGGACAAAAGCTTTGAAGTCTAACATTACAGGTGTTAGCAAAGGTATAGAACAGCAGAAGCTGCTGCTGAGAGGTAAATTGGTACAGCTTTTTTGGAAAACGATCCTTATCTAATATAGCATGTAGTAAGCAAAAAGATCCCCCCCCCAACACACACACACACACACACACACACACACACACACACACACACACACACAAAATAAAAACAACAATCCACTTATTCTTGGGATCTATTTGTATTCCCTTACATGGCAAGAAACGTGGTGATCTTAAGTTTATGATCTTGAGATGAGAGATTATCCTAGATTATCTAAGCAGCCCCTATATAATAACAAGAGTCCTTATAAGGGGTAGAGGAAGTGTCAGCCATGTAGCCTGAGAAAGGCTCACTCAGCTCTTACTGGCTGTGAAGACAGGAGCAGGCTACGAGCCAAAGAATGCAGAGGCAGCCCTGAGAAGCCAGAAAGTCACGTTCAAAGAATTCTTCATTAGAGCCCCAGAAGGAATACAACTAAGCTGTTACCTTGATTTCCCCCCCCCCCAGAGACTCCTTTTAGGCTGTGGACCTCTAGAACTGAGATATTAATCTATGTTGCATTGGGTCCCTGTGTCTCACGCCTGTAATCCTAGCTACTCAGGAGGCTGAGATCTGAGGATTGGGGTTTGAAAACAGCCCAGGCAAGAAAGGCTAAATCGAAAATGGAGCTGTGGCTCAAAGCAGTAGAGTGCTAGCCTCAAACAAAAAGAGTTCAGGGACAGTGCCCAGGCCCTGAGTTCAAACTCTATGACCAACAAAATCTGTGTTTCTCTGGACCACCAAATTTTGTGATCCTTTTTTTTTTGTCAGTTGTGGGGCTTAAACTCTAGGTCTGGATGCAGTCCCTGAGGTCTTCAGCTCAAGGCTAGCACTCCACCTTTTAAGCCACAGCACCACTTCTGGTTTTCTGGTACTTTATTGGAGATAAGAGTCTCAGGGACTTTCCTGCCCCAGCTGGCTTTGAACTGTGATCCTCAGATCTCAGCCTCCTGAGTAGCTAGGATTACAGGAGTGAGCCACTGGTGCCTGGCCTGTGATCATTTCTTATAGCAGCAATGGGGAGCTGTGCACCCCATGAACCCACAATTGCATTCATAGGTACATGTGTTCATACTCCAGGAGAAAATTCTAAGAATACCTTCAATAGACCCCCCCCTTGCATATTCCCATTGGTGGGATTATAACTTGGTATACACATGGAACACAGTATGGAGGTGCCTCAGAATATTCAAAATAGAACTACTGTGAAATCCTGCAATCCTACTGCTGGGTATAAGCCAAAAGAAATGAAATCAATCTGTCAAAGAGATACCTGTATACTCCTCCCTACCCCACTTCCCCCATGTTCACTATTTTCAACAGCCAAGAAATGTAACTACATAAGTGACCATCAGTGGAAGAATAAAGAAAATGTGATACATATACACTATGGAATACTATTCGGCCATAAAAAAGATTAAACACTTATCTATGGCAACATGGGTAGATTTAGATGACATCATAAAGCCAGATACAAAGAGTACATGGTCTTGCTAATATGTTAAACCTCCAAAAGTTCATCTCATAACCACCATTCTAGTCTTGATTTATATGAGAAACTAATGAGACCAGAGTGGAGGAGGAGGTGGGGAGAGGCCAGCCATTGGATACAAATTATAGTCAGACAGGAGGAATAAGTTCTCATGTTCTATTGCATAGCGAATGTAGTTACCACAAGCATGTGTATTTCAAAATAATCCAGAGATTTCCAATTTCTCACCACAAAGAAATTATCAGTGTTTCAGGTAATGGCTATGTTGATTACCCTGATTTGAACATTGTGCAACATATCCATGAATGAAAAAGCCATCCTGTATTTCATAGATGTGTATGATTCTTGTGTCCATGTCTTTTAGCAAGAAAAAAATGCCCATAATACCTTAATTATAAATGCTTCTCAAATACATTGAGACTCACTGAATCCAGTGAGCAGTGACTCCTTTCCTTTTCCAGAGGCTGTATCCTGAGTGCCTGTGTCTGACATGTCTCCTCACTCCTAGCCTGCCAGACAGCCTCTGCTGGTGGGCTCTGCCCTGGAGTTTCCCAGTGCCATCTACTCCCAAACAAGGGCCCTGGGCCAGTGCATACAGGCAATCAGCAGTACTGTGATTAGCATCACTAATCACACAATTTATTAGGCCAAGGCTTTAAGCAAGCTCTGTTTATGTAGTGTGGAGTCATAGTGCATTCCTAGGAACCCACAGCCCTCTCTAGTGGTCTGCCAGTCTGTCCGTAACTACCTGGGTGGTCAGCCACTTTTCTTTGTTTTTTGTTTTGTTTGTGCTAGTCCTAGGGCTTGAACTCAAGGCCTAGGCACTGTCTCTGAGATTTTTTTTTTCTCAAGGCTAATACTCTTATGACTTGAGCCACAGGTCCACTTCCAGCTTTTTGATAGTTTATTAGAGCAAAGAGTCTAATGGACTTTCCTGCCTGGGCTGGCTTTGAACTTCAATCCTCAGATCTCAGCCTCCTAAGTAGCTAGGCATGAGCCACCAGCACCCAGCCAGTTGGCTTTCTTGATAAGAACAAATGGTGCACAGTATCTCTTGACCACAATGGTGGTGATGACGAAGAACAACTCAGACTCCCTAAGAAGGCCTAATATTCATGAATGGTGACGCCTAGAGTTGTACTGATACATGTACTGATAGCTGCTCTGTTATTAGCCAAGATGAGAAAACAGGAAGAAAACTACTATTTAAGGGACCATTCATATGTTCCCAGTTTTTTCATGATGATATTACTGCTCACTAAGCATTGTAGGGCATGCTGGTAATCCCAGCAGGAAGAACTTGAGTTCAAGGCTAGCCTGGACAACATAGCAAGACTCTGTCCAAAGAAATAAGTTATCCAATTTTACCAGTGAGAAAACTGGTTCAGAGAAGCTAATTGACTACCAATATTACACAACTATAGTGAAGATGGGCTTTGAAACTTAATGGGCATTAAAATTAGATAAAGTGGTTATTCATGTATCTCTTGGTACTTCGGGAGGTCTGTGCACAGTAAGCGTTACAGCAATTGAGCTCTCTGCTGAAGGCACAGAGGCCCAAGGCAGATGCAGACACTAATCAAATCATAGAAACGCAGGTTACTTAGAACTGCAGCCAGTGCTACAAAGGTAGCACTTGGGGGCTCTGAGAACACACTTCCCTCCTCCTCCCCCACCCCCCCACCCCCAGACATACACAGACCCAGACCCAAGTCTGAAGAAAAACCAGGGTCACCTCTGGGGAAAAAGCCATGTAGACATTGCAACAGTAGAGCAGGGCCTTGACAGCCACCGGGAGGCAGTGACAGAAAGCAGTGTGGCCCTGATGTATAGGGGACAGGTGTGGCATGAAATGAAACTGGAGAGTAGGCTGGGCCATGCAAAGCCATGACAGAGAATTTGGGGGAGGGGGGCGGGGGCAGGGGGGAAGCTACCTTAAGTGAGGTGGCTGTGAGATACATAGCTTAGCTCCAAGGGGCTCCAGTTTCCATTACAGTCTATGGTAATAGATTTGTGTAGTTCACAGCCAAACCTAGATGTCTAATGGTCTGACTACAGCAAGTAGAATGAATTGGCCAAGGGCAAGAGGAGGCCAGTTAGGAGCCTGCTGCTGTGGCCCCAGAACCACGCTGCCTTCCCTTCCATGCTCACTCCTTGGTGGGCTTTCCATTCCCCCATTTGCCTTCCTAGTAATTCCTCCTTAGAGTAGCCCCATTGTGTCAGATTTACTTGAAATCTAAGAAACACTCAGCTGATGTCAAGGGGAGGACAAGAACCAGCCAGAAAGCATGGGACTACAGCTGGTAGAAAGCAATTAAGAATAGGATTCAGCTCAGCACAGTAGGGCAAAGGCCTCAGCCTGGGCCCTCAGAAAAGGCTCAGAAATATGTGCAAACCAACATGGGAACACAACGAGAAGCTGTGCCAGCCAGGCCTCTAGGGAGGTCCCTGGGAGCTGGTACCAACCAGGATGAACCAGGCAGAGAACAGATGAGGGGGTCATGGAGGTAGAGCCCAAGAAGGCTCCCAGCCCAAGACCCTCAGCTTATAACACCACCAGTGTTTGTCTAAGCAGCACAGAGCTTGGGCCTTAGTGCCTCTGGCTGTGGCAGCCACAACTACAAGAGAAACGAGGCTTGGGAACCACCTTGTAGTCTGCAAAGGAGTCCAGGCCTTCCACTCTGCTTGGCCTTCAATCTCTGGTCCTATGGACCAGAGCCCGGCCTGCTTTCCCCATGGTTCCATGATCTCTCCCACTTTTGAATCCCAGATGAGCTGTTATCTTGTCTTATATTGTTCATCTCCTGCATGGCTATGCTTCTCATCATTTGTATTGTGCAAACATTACACAGTCAGAAAGATACCTAAGACAAATCACCAGACACCCTCACACCAGCACTACCTAAGTCAAGGACAAGAGTAATGGCAGCTTCCAGGGGCTGCCCCCAACCCGCCCTGTGCCCTTTCTGAACACATCCCTCAGCCCTCCCTAACGGTGACCACTGCCCTGACTTTCATAATCATCAGGGGTTTGGCTTTTTTTTTTCTTTTGTTCCTACTTTCCCTTAGTTTTACTACCTAAGCATGCATTCCAAAAAAGTAGACAGAGTTTTTTTTGTTTGTTTGTTTACTCTAGTCTTCAAAGGATGGCTAGAGAAAGGAATAGAGGCATGAAATCAGAGAAAGCCCTTGTGTTGAGAGGAGGGTGGGGGAGCTCGAAGAGATTAGAGGAGCGGTCAAAGACGACGGTGGACAGACACATAAACATGAAGAGAAGGGACGGAAGGAGTATATACAAACATTGTGAGTGGGCATGTCCAGCTTCTAGCGTACTCCTAGCATAATCCAAACTCCACAATGTAAAATTCCAAACCTTTAAGGACCCAGCCCCAACCCCATCTTTGTCTCACATGCACGGGCATGTACACACGCATACACACATACACCATACCTCTCCAGTCTTAAACTATTTCTGACTCTCAGGAAGAGCTGGCTTTAGCAAGACACAGTCAACCCTTCCCCTGGACCCTGCCCACTTCCATCATTTCATATCCTCATTCATATCCACCTTCTCCAAGAAGACAAGAAAGAACTGTTACTCAGAGGCTCAGAACTTAAATGAACCCACTTGAAAATACATCCCAACTCCCAGCTTCCACTCAATGCCTCACACCACCTGCCTGCTCTATCCGTAATGAGAAGCCGACTTCCTGAATCCTCCCTGGCAAGTGCCTCCTATCTGCCTGGTGGGAAGCGGGGTGGGATGGGGGCAGGGGGGGGAATCCTATGTCCTCTGGAAGCATCTCCTTTGCATACAGTTGGCACAGTGATGAAGGGCAGAGGCAGGGGGAGAAAGGCCCCAGAAACAGGTGTGAAGCTTGTGTGTGGTAGGGCCTGCTTTATTTCATTGGGAGATGAGACCCTGCAAACTCCCACCTCTCCCCTACACACTCTCCCCTCACCTGCTCTCAATTCTTGCTGCATATCCATGCTACCATCTGCAGCTGGTGGCCATGAGCCAACCCAGGGGCCCTGCTGGGCATGGGGATGAGCAACAGAGGGAAGGGAGACAATAAATAACTCTGGAACAGGTATCCCTTCTCAGGTAGCTGGTGCTTTGCTTTCTCTGCAGATATCGTCAACTGTGACCTGAAGTCCACACTGCGAGTGCTGTATAACCTCTTTACCAAGTACCGGAACGTGGAATGAGAGGCAAGGCTTCCCACCACCCAGCAGCCCCCACTGATGGCAGACTGGACCAGCTTCTGGGGACCGCCTCACCTCGCTTGTACCTGTCTCCCACTCTGCTCCCCCCACAAGCCCAGTGTCTGCCCAGAGATAGTGGAAACTGAGGTCAGGAAGGAGATGACCAGTAACTCAGTGGGCTGATCTATCACCTTCTAGGCCCTGGAGACTTACCCGACCGTGAAGGGAAAGGTGCCAGTCCAGCTTTCCCTCTACATGCCTTGGGAATAGTGTAGGCCCAGAGTTCCCAGAAGATGCCCATAGAGACCACAAGCTGCCATTGATGGAAATCAAAGATGCCACCCTCCTAAGTGCCCTCCTGTGCTCCAGCTCTTTAATCCTGATTCCAGGGAAGTAAATAACTGAGGCTCAAAGGTTAAGTGACCTGCTAGTTATTTTTCTTCTCTACTCCCTATTTTGTTGTTTTTAGACAGAATGTCGCTCTAGCCCAGGTTAGCCTCAAAACTTCAAAACTTCATAACTTCATGCCTCAATCTCCCAGGTGCTAGGATTACAGGCATGAACTGCCAATACCCAGCTTGTTTTTCTTTTTGAACAACCTATTTGTTAGTAACTTGTCAATTACATCCCATTCTTAGTACACCCTAAAGTGTGTGTGTGCGTGTGGGTGTGCACGCGTGCATGCACAAATATCACCTGTGCACACCCTCATCCTCAAAGAAGACAGGAAGCACTGATCTCGGGGCAGGGGCAGGCTAGGTCAGGGCTTGGTGATTCATGCTGAAATTGGCTAGTTGAATTTATCCCAATTAATAGTGTGTGTGTGGCAGGAGTCATGTCTCTCAAACCCTTTGTGCAAATGAAAATTACTCTTAATTCCTTCAGATTTATAATAACCCCATACTCTGGTTTGAGGGTGACATTTGGGAAGGATTCTGTTTAGAATTAATGGAGTAGCACATTTTGCAGCCTTTTTGCTTGATTGCATGTAATGGAAATGCCCTATATTTTCCTGCAAAATAAGTACTCAATTCATTATCGTTAGGCAAATGTACAATATACTCAGGCACCGCAGAAAGCTGGGCACGGGCCCCTGTGAGTCTCGCTTGGGAAGTAGGGCTCTTCAACAGAGACCCTTGAACTTTAAAGAAAGGAACTCCTTTTTGCTTTCTAATTGATCATTTAGACCATTCTGGTGAAGTCTGCCCACATGCAATTACCAGCTAATTCAGGCGAGGAAAAATGTAAGTCATTTAGACCAAAGCTGAACAGTTTCCTTGCGTGGGTGACTCAAGGGCTTGTGGTTACTTGTATCTTCTTTCTGTGAACCCCGCTTAGAGTTCTATTTGTGCATGGCTGTCAGGTCCTATAGGAAAAGAAGGGGTATTGGGTTGGGGGCGGGGACACAGAAGAGCTGGGGGAACAAGACATGGGGATAATATCTAGGGGATACCTTGAGAGGCAGAGGTAAGGTTTATGGTACTTAACACTTATGCCCTTAAAATGCTCAAGGCCTTTGAATAATCACTTGCACTCATGTTGTATCTTTATTCTACAAGTTTCATACATGTACCAGAGAGACACTAGCCTGTGAAGGATATGGCTGTGTTGCCACAACTTGGGCCTATTATACTAAGCCCATATCTGCTTTGAGGAATTCGTCAGTGTTCCTATACCACCTAGTCCGGCCTCTCACCACTCCTAAGACATTCCTTTAGCCTACTCTTTTCCATGCTGTAACTCAGAATCCAGAACATTTACATACATGCCACCTTTCCTTGGATATTTTATACTAATTATTTCTCAGCATAATGAGCATTTAAGGTATAAAGGGCAGCATATTGTCTTCTGTTTATATATAAGAATACAGTTCTTTTTTACATAATTAATGAAATACCCTATTTTTATTAGGAAACACTAAACTGTGTACAGTTCCTAGTGCTGTCTTCTAGCAAATCAATACACTAATGGTTTTGGTCTCCTAAAGCAGAATGAAATAGGAAGAATGTGTTCATTTAAACCAGCTTTGTGTGAATTTTGTCTCTTTTTTTGTGATTTATCTCTGGTGTCATTTTTCTCTGGTGTCATTTTTCTCTGGTGTTTAAAATGAAAATGAGATAGTTGGGTTTTTTTAATAACAAATCTAATAATAAGAAAATTGTGTTTCAGGATTAAGATCTTTACAGTACAGCCCTCTTGTCTCCCCAAGATGTTTCTCATTGGATTCTGGACCTTTTATTGATAAGTGACTGTGAATTTGAAGGTGGAAAGAGGCATCCTAATCATAAATAAACCAAACTTAGCTTTCATGTCTGAAAAAGAAAAAACTGAACTAAGACTCAAGTCTCAGGCTACGGTTAGCTTGGTGGCAAAGCGCTTGCCTAAATGCTTAAGGCCCTTGGCTTAATCCCTAGTACTACCAAAAAAAAAAAAAAGAAGAGAATCAAGTCTCTGTAAGATCACCAAGTAGTTTTTTTCCACTTTTCTAAATTTAAATCCATTATTATTTGTAATAGTGAATATATAAATAGTATAACAAAGCATGAATGGATGTCTAATGAAAGCCCTATCTCTCCCAATCTCTCTCTGTTCCTTCACCCCACCCCTATCTGCTTGACCATTTAAGGCAGATTCGTTAGACAGAACCTAAATGTACTAAAATCTTTAGGTTTAAAAAAATATTAATGGCCCATTATACATAGTCATACACATTGCTTTTAAAATATTTTAAAATGAGAATCCACTATACATCTGTAGTCTGCTTGAGGTAGGGAAGAAAAGACCTACCCAAAGGGGGAAAAGCTTTCTCCATAGTGAGATACAGGGGCAGGGTGGGAAGCTGGGAACATCTGATCAAAGGCATCCATCCTCGTATGCCTTAAACTGATTTTTTTGTCTTCTTTGGAACATCATAGTACATTGTTATGGGGATTGAACTCAGAGCTTTGTGCATGCTAGCATGAACTCAAAATGCTGAGCTACACCCCCCCCAGCCCAATTGATGAATGTGATTTAAGATTTCATTTTTACATCTTACTAGCTTAATGCATTGCAGTCAGCTACCAAAAAAAAAGTGCTATAAAGGTTGCTGAGTACCCTACATAAGTACAGAGTCCACATTCCCAAAGTCTGGGACAAGGTTTCTTTATGAGCACTTCATCAATGTCGTCTTGAGTTGGATGCAGTTTTCAAGGGCTGCCATCAGGAGTCTAATTATGAATTACTCTTAGCTTCAGCATTTTCAGTCTATTCTGTTGTGGGTTGCTTGGTTAACCTGCAGCATATATCAAAGCTTATTTGCATCAACAGTATTCTGGGGCTATAATTTTCCAATAACTAGACTCTCCAACATGTATACATCGTGGTTCCCATGTGAATCATCTATACCACTGTTAGAGCAAATGTATACATAGCTACTCCCCCAAATTAGTACTAATTTATTTTTCCACTGGAAAATGAGACCAGATGGAGTCAAGAGGTCAAACAGTTTTTGCCCTGCCTATTATGGGGTGGGTCCAAAATAAACTAAGACTCATTTCCTTTCATACAGCCTCACCTCGAGTGTCTTACCTGTGTAGTACCTAGTCATGCAAAAGAGCTAAATCCTGACACCTTCACCAGTCCTGACATTGCACAGACTTCCTCATCACACTCACTTAGATTTATTGGAAAATCCAACAGAGTTGTCCAGATCCCAAGTGCAAGAGAACTGCTCTGGGACACAGTCTGGGTGGCAGGTTGACTCACTAAGGGACCTACCTACCTCTACACACCAGCTTCCTAAATACTTTCAGATGCAGCCCTTAATGAAAGGCAAGTCAGTAAGAGCTGCTACAAGCACTAACTTCCTGCTTCTTGCTTGCTTCTCAAGGAAAAAAGAAAGGTAAGCCAGGCTAGCTGCAAATTCTTATGTCCCTAGCCTTCTTGGTTTGATGGCATATATGGATACATGCTTACAAGAGCATTTCAGCTCTGAGGGTGTTCATCATTGGATAGGCCACCCTCAAGCCATGTCTGACTGCTTTACAGGCTTGCCAGGTGAGATGCTTCCAATGAAGCAACATTCAAGTTCATTGAAACTGGGTGTGGGGGGAGTCACATTCAATTAAACTTGGGAACACAAGGCTAAGAAAATTAAATTCGCTTAGGTTTTTGTTTTTAAATCAGAATCCATTTCAAATTCTCTGACCCTAAGGAATATTAGGACTCCAAAGGGAAGAAAGAAGGTCCCAACTTTGAGCCTGGCCTGTTTACCCCTTAGAATGAGTACTCAGTGGAGCTCACTCATTTATCCAGTGAGCCATATGCCCAGTCTGTATGTGTTGAGTAACATCACCATCTAGAAAAAAGACTGAAAAATCATTCACATTGCAAACTGATAACCACTATGAAGGAGAAATACAGTTGGCCCTTTGTTCACAGGTTTCATAGTGACAGAATCAGCCAGTCTCAAATTAAATATACGTGTAGTCTAGCTACATAATCCTTGCTATGGAAGGGAGGCTGAGATCCAGACAATTGTGGTTTGAAGCCAGCCTGAGACAGGAAAGGAAAGCCTATGACACTTCATTTCCAAATAACCAGCAAAAAGCCAGACTAGTGGGGTGGTTCAAGTGATAGAGCACCAGCAGAACAAGCAAAGATGAGTGAACACAAGGTCCTGAATTCAAACCCTGGTTTTATCTACCTATATTAAACATGTTCAGGGTTTTTTTAAGTTATCATTACTCCCTAAACAGTATAATGTAAAACTGTTCATAAAGACTGACATACCTTACAGTATTATATGTAATCTGGGAATGATTTAAAATACAGAGGAGGCTTACACACGTGTAGATATAATGCCCTTATATACAAGAGACTTACATATCCATAGATTTTGGTATCTTCACTTGGTCCTGGAACCAATCTCCCACAGAGACAAAGGATCAACTATACAAAAAAGTGAAAGTGTTCTCATTTCGATTTAAAGGCCAAAACAGGTCTCTGGAAAAGTAACATTTTTAAATAACACCTGAAGGCTATGCTCAAGTGGCAGAGTGCTTGCCAAGCATATGCAAGACCCTGAGATCAATCCCAAGTACTACAAGTAAAAAGAAAAAAAAAGGTTTCTTGATCAAGACATATTATATTCATAAACTGCTTTGTTAAATAGCAACTCCTTTGTACAAGTATTTAAAGATAATTTTTTAAGTTGAAAAAAATGTCAAAAAGGGTTACACCTGAATCACAGAACTACTTAAGCAAAGAACCTAACCATTCAAGGGCACAGCATGGTTGAGTATCCTAGGGCAGATGAAGACTTGATTCCTACAGGAACTGGCAGAAAGCCAGGCCAGCTACAGTACAAAGAATGTTCGGGAAGAAGAGGAATCAGATTACAATCAGAGGAAT